CTGCGCACAGTGCTCAGCCTCCTGGGCCCCGCAGGGACAGCCAGGAGCCCTGGGATGGACTTCTAGGCCTGCGGGTCCCACATAGGCCAGAGGAGCGCTGGAGGCTCTGGTGGCCAAGGGGCGCCTCCTGCGGGGCAAGCTGGCCTGTGTGTGCGAGTGTTGGGCGCCTGCAGCGTGGGCAGAGCTGGGGGCATGCAGTGGACGGGTGAGGCAGGTGCTGGGCACTGCGGCAGCCCTGACATCACAGGGTAGCTTATGTACAGCTCCGTGACGGCTTCAGGACTCTCATAGATCCGCGTACAGGGCCTCCCAGCGTCCCCTGTCCCGCCCCTGTTGTTGTCCCTCCTGGCCCAGGAGGAGAGTGGCTGGGAAGAGCCCGAGGCTGTGACGGAGGGACAGGGTGGGGCGACCTTGTTTGCTGCCCTTTGTCCAGGGCTGAAGTCCAGAGGCGGAGGCAGGTGCCAGCCAGGGAGGGCACCTAATTACAGAGGTGGCAGCCACACCGCGACACTGTGCTGTGACACTCCTTGCTCCCAGCTCTGCTCTGCAGGCCTGCAGCATGGGGCAGGGCTGGAATGCCAGAAGGGACACAGGGCGACCAGAAAAGATAGGATAGCCAGAAATAGTGCAGGCAGACGCCCGAGGGGGTAGGGGACAGGGGACGGCCCCTGCAGAGCACAGCTGTGCCTGAGGCCCAGACCCTGCACAACACGGTCCAGGCCCAGGACAGGCTTGCACCACCAGGAGTATAGTCTTCATTTTCTTTTGCTCGCTCGCTCGCTCGCTTCCTCCCTCCCTCCCTCCCTTCCTTTCTGAGATAGAGGGCCTCATTATGTATCCCAGGCTGGCCTTGAGCTCCTGGTGATCCTCCTGCCTCAGCCTCCCGAGTGCTGGGAGGACAGGCACACCTTTCTAGGAGGGTTGCGTTCTGAGCTGGCCCTCCCCAGTGAGCGGCCGCCTTCCCCTGCTGGAGTGGTTTTGCCGGCAGGTGAGCAAGACCTCCCATCTGAGTCACCCTGGCTCCTGCGCCCGGCCTGGGCGACTCCGGCACAGGCTGACACAACGAGGGCCCCACCTGGCCTGGCAGCGCCCCACCCTCCGCCCCGCCGGCCTGGCTGCCTGCCCTGACAAGATCTGCTCCATAGTTGGCCGGGCTCCTGAGGCCGCGCACCCCGCAGGGACAGCAGTGTCTCCCCCTTGCACACAGTGGGGAACGGCAGGAGCCAGCCAGGACAGGGACTTTTCTCTAAGGCCATGAAAGCAAATTCCTGGCAGGACTGGGACTTGAACCCCTGGGGTGCTGCAGGCTGTGGCTGGCCAAGGCCTATCTGGCACCCTTCCTCTGGGACCCAAATCTACCATGGGCCTCCTGTCCTCCAAGTCCCCGAGCCCCAGCGAACGCTGGGGAAGCAGAGGCCCCACCCCTCCCCCCGTCTGTCTTCCCCACCTTGGTGGGAACCGGGGAGCACAGCCGGCCTGGCCCAGCCTAGCCCAGCCCAGGCCCCGAGGGAATCTGAGAATTGAGATTCTTGAATATTTCATCAGCACTTCAGCCTCCTGGAAGCAGCAGCCAACTTACAGCTCATGAGTAATTTATGGCCCCAGCTGAGAGGGTGGGGTAGGTGGGGGGGGGACTGGAGAGGCCAGGACCAGGCTGTCCAGGGGGACACTGTCCAAGAGCTGGCAGTGGGTGAGGTGGGGGGACCGGGCTTTGAGGCCAGGGACTTTCCATTTTTGAGGATAACAACATAATTTAAAATGAGTAAGTTTTAAAAAGGGTTAACAGGCCAGAGAAATCGCTCAGCCATCTAAGTGCCTGCCTGGCAAATGCGAGGACCCAGGTTTGATCCCCAGTACTACACACTGTGCTCACGCCGGAACCAGGTGTGGTGGTGCATGCCTGTAATCCCAGCACTGGGGAGGCTGAGACAGGAGGATCCCTGTGAGTCTGAGCTGCGTAGCGAGACCCTGTACCAAATAAGTAAATAAAATATTTTTTAAAAATGGTTATCAAAACAACTGTACTGAAGGCTAAAGTCACAGCACAAGCATTTTCTGATTTCCACCCAACCTCATTCAGAGACGATAACAAAATTCAAGGGACAGCCAGGTTTGCAGGGACGCTTCTGTGAGCCCAGCACTCTGGGAGGCTGAGGCAGGAGGCTTGCACGTTCCTACTGGCTTCTTTTTTTTTTTTGTAGCTCCCCATTGACCTGCAGCAGCGCTGGTCTGGGTTGCCTTGAGTATGTGGGAATGGAACCAGCGCTCCAAGAAACTGACTGGCTCCTTTAAGCAGGCACTTCCACAACTGAGCTAATGGGCAGGCCCCCTGCACGTTCCTACTGGCCTGGGCAACTTGGTGGCTTGGCAAGACTGGGGGTGTAGTTTAGGACCACAGTCACAGGAAAGAGTCCTCCCTGGCTGTGGGCCCCCCCAAAGGACTCCCTGCCCCACACTCCTGGACCGGGGAGCAAGGCCCACCTGACCTAGGCAGGCTGAATCCTGGCCTCCCAGCCCCTCCAGGAAGGCCAAGGGCACTGTGCCTCTTCCTCTGCTGGGAGCAGAGCCGCAGATCATCTGAGCCGAAAGCTGGGGCAGGTGACCCACAGCACACGGTCCCATTGTCCTGGGCTCTTCTTTACTGATGGCCTAGTGACCTAGGACTGAGTTCTGGGTCAGAGGTCAAGGACGCCTCTTGGGGGATGGGTCACTCAGCAAGTCCATCCTCCCCTTACCTCAGTTTCCCCTGAGTCACAGGCAGGACAGATGCTAGAGCCCAGGGCCGTTTGGGGCAGAGGAGATGCTATCCAGAGGCTGGCGCCGGCTGGGCAGCAAGTGATTAGGGATCACGCCTCCCGGGCTAGGCCTAGGTCTGGGCTGGGACCCCAGTTCACCTGAGAGTTTGGGGGGTCAGGGCCAGGCAGGGTCACAGCCCTGAGGGCTAACCCATGCTTTTGGGGATCAGTGTCTCATAGTGCATCAGGGCATCCACCAGAGCTATTCTGGAGAGAAGCCACAGAAGGAGACAGCTGGAAGTCCCCCATAGAGGAGGGCTGGCGGGCCTTGGGCCTGGGGCTTCGAGGACCTCCCGTCAGGGAAGCTGCTGGCCTGGCATCAGCTGGAAACAGTCCTTTTCTGCGAACCTGGGTCTCCTGTGTAGCCCAGGCTGGCCTGGAACTCATGGTGACCTTCCTGCCTCAGCCTCAAGTCCCAGGATGACACATCTGCAGCACCACATCTGGAAGCTGCTATCCTAAGTGACCCTAACACCGCAGCCCCCAGGTCCCTGGAGCAGCCCCCAAGGCTGACAACTCCCGCAGGGCCTGGGCTTGCTCCCTTCCCTGCTTCCCAGGCTGCCCCCCCCCCCCCAGGGAGCCCTGAACAAGGTGCTTCTTGCTCCAGCCTCCAGGGGCAGCAGGGGCCTGAAGGAAATAGAAGATCACAGAGCTTTGCCCCCACCATGAGTGTGACCAGCATGCGCTACAAAGTATACTAAAAAAAATTCTTTTAAGAGGGAAATGTTTCCTGGGAGCTTGTCATCCTACCACTCAGGAGGCTGAGGCAGGAGGATCACTGTGAGTTCCAGGCCTGCCTCAACTGCGTGGCAAAACCCTGTTTCAAAACAAACAGAAAAGAAATGTTCGTTTTTTTGGTTTTTCCTGGAACCGGGGATTGAACTCAGGCCCTTGTACTTGCCAGGCAAGCACTTACTCTACTGAGCCATCTCCCCAGCCCAAGGGGTGTAGTATTGAGGACACTGAGCGCATAGCAGGCACCCTACAACAGGCTCCCCTGCGGCCTGGACACTGGGGAGACTGTGGGGCCCAAGCTGGGGCTGAGTGGTGCCAGTGGGACTGGGGACTTGGCCCCACCGGTTCTGGCAGCTGCGTGGGGACAACACTGGTACCAGGAGAGATGGGAGGGGCCAGCAGCCCCCAGGCAAGGCGGGTGGACAGGAGAGGCAGGTGCTGCGGGCTACACAGGAAGGGGCACAGCCCACGGGCTCACACTCACGGACACACACACATTCGCGTGCACGCGCACAGGAAACTGCGTGCCTATGCATACAGGCGTTGGCGCCTCACCTGCCCCAGCCTCCACGTCCCCCTTAAGTACTGATGTACAGAACTTTGGTTTTTGTCTTTTTCAGACAGGGTCTTGTTGTGCAATTCAGGCTGGCCTTGAGCTCTCTTTTTGTATCCCGGGCTGGTCTCAAACTCAGTGATCCTCCTGCCTCAGCCTCTGGAGCGCTGGAGTTAGGGGCATACAGCACCACGCCTGGCTCTTACATAACTCTTAGACCACTGCTGGTCCAGCCGGACCTGAACTCCAAGGACACAGTGCACAGCCTGCGTTGTTCCTGGTCGTGTACCAAGCTCCTGCCGCTCACAGGGTACCCAGTAGGTGTTCAACTCAAGTGCGAATGTGAAGTGAACCCCGGCATGTTCAGGCACGCGCATGCACTTGGCGGATGTGCACTTGGTGAGCCCACAAGGCCCGCACAGGCATCAGCGGACCCACACGTCCTCCATGCGTGGGCCCCTTCAGACCCACGCCAGCACCGGATTCCAGAGCTGCTGCTCATGGGGCCGTGCAGCTGGGCCTCGCTGGAGCACATCTGCCCCGAGCCCGGAGGAGCAGGGCAGGGCCGCAGCCAGCTGGAAAGGGGTGGGGCGGGTAGGGCCACCCAGGCACAGGCGTTGTGACGAAGAGGCTGCACCCTACCTGCGAGGAAAACGGAAGAGGAGGTCACCAGGTCCCTGCAGACAGACTCTGGCCTCCAGCCTAGCAGGCGCTTGGGCAGGGCCCGGGGTTCTCCTGGCCACCGAGGGGCGGGGCCAGGTACCTCAGGGGAGGGAGGACAGGGCAGCCCCCGGGACCGGCGCCCACTCGCAACCCCACAGGCCGCCCAAGGGCAGTGGTGCCCCGCAGAGAGGAACCGGACCCACCCTGCAGTCCTCCTGGGCCTTCTGGGGAGACCGCGCCCTGCGCCCCCTTGTGGCCAGCCTGGGATCGCACGCCGTCCCCAGCCCGTGAGGCTCGACCTCGCCTACGCAGGACCCCAGGCGCTGTCTTTTGCCCCAACACGAGCATTTATTGAGCACCCACTGTCTACCGGAACTCCTGGACTCCTGCTCCAGGGCTCCGCAGCCCCGCAGCCCCGCTGCCACTCGGGCAGAGACTCCAGCTGTGGCCGAGTCTCCTGCAGGAGGTTGTCCAGGAAGCGGGCGGACTCCGTCAGCCCCGCACACCGCCCTACCATCCTGTGGTCGGGACACATCAGAGGCAGCGGTGCCCTCGGCAGGGACAGGCCAGCAGCGTCCACAGTCAGGTTTTCATAAATAGTCCTCGCTGCGCCCCAGCTTCCTGAGCTCTGGAGGGAGGGGCGTGGTGACCCCTGGGATGACCTCTTCTCATGCCAGCTCAGGCTCTAGCTCTGAAAAGGGGAGTCAAGGGAGGGTAGGATGAGTCCTGCTCAGCAGAGGCCTAGGTCCTGTCCCTGTTGGAGGACGGAGGACGTGGGGACAGATCTCAGCCAATCATGGCCCCAGGGCAAGTGGGGAGCCCCACCCGCCAAGGCCAGAGGGGGGCCCAGGCCCCACGCTTACCAGCCTCGGCCTCATCCCCTTTGGCATCTGGCTCCTGCCACCAGTCTGCATAGAGCCCCTCCTCGTAGTCCCCAAGTCCCTCAAACTCTGCGTCGGACAGGGGCTGTCCCAGTTCTGGGGATGGCTCCGCCTCCTGCAGCTCCATCTAGAAGACCCCGGATGGGGGTGACAGTTTGTCACTGTAGGCCCAAGCCCAGCCAGGCTCCCCAGGGCCAGGTCACCCCTGCCCCATCTCAGACCCCAAAGTGGCCTAATGAGGGGGTCTGGCCCTGTGACCCTCAGCACGTGCTGTCCTCATCCCTCTTGCCCAGGCCACAGCCACCCTATGCTGCCCAGCCCAGACAACTCCAGTTATGCCCCCCAGAGCCAGGTGTGGGCTCCAGGACCCTTGCTGATGACTCTGCTCCAGGGGCAGCCTTCTTCCTGTGAGACCTAGGGATGGGCACTGCCATTCTCCTACCTGCCCAGCCTCCCACCTGAGGTCTATCAGACAGTAGGCAGCAAGCCGAAGGTGACAGTCACCAACAGAGTCACAAGGGGCTGGGGAGATAGCTCAGTAGAATAAGCACTTGCCTGGCAAGCACAAGGGCCTGAGTTCAATCCCCAGTTTCACCAAACAAAAAAAGAAAGAAAAAAGAAACAGGGTCACAACTGCCAGACTCTGGCTTTAAGCTGCCTCTACAAGTGCTTCACAATCTTTACTTTCTCCAGTGCTAGGAACAGAACCCAGGGCCTCTCCACCAACCTGAGCTATGTTCCCAGCCCTTCTTTATTGATACAGAGTCTCAATATGTTGCTGAGTGGTCCAGGCTGGGCCTGAACCTGGATCTTTCTGCCTCAGCTTCCCCCGCAAATACTGGGATGGTAGGCATGCACCACCACACACCAGATGTTCTTGGTCTCTCTTACCTTTCACCTGCACAAAATGAGCAGGGCATTGTCGCCCCTTGGGGTGGCTAGAGAAGTGGGGAGATTCCCTACGACTGGCCTGAGTCCACCAAGGAGCCAAGCAATGGGGACAGATGTGACAGAATCCTAGCCTGCAGCCACTGCACACTACCCCACCACTCACTGTCTCAGCCCGCCCCTGGTCCCCAGGAGGAAGGGCTGGGGCAGGTGGCTCTGGTGGCCTGGGTCCTGCCCCAAATGGGGACTGGGACAGAAGCCCAGGCTCCTGATGCCAAGTCCAGAGAAGGCCGAAATAGCAGGGCTCAGAACCAGGGCCCAGGACCTTCCTTCAGGGAGGGAGGCATTGTGTGAGCCAGACCCAGGGCAGTGCAGGAGGGCCTGGGGACTCCAGGGCAGCAGGCGGGCAGGTCTGTGAGCCCCACAGCCTGTGAGGCCGGCTGCTGACCTCATCATCAGCCTGCAGGTGCGCGCGGGAGTAGTCCAGCAGCTGCCGCAGCTCAGCTGTCTGATTGTGGTAGAGCGAGGCCTCCTGGGGGAGAGGACGTGGGTGAGCAGGGGACCCGGGAGCAATGGCAGCTTTGGGCTGATCACGCAGTCAGAGCCACTGGGAGCTCTGGGCTGGGGAGGCTTCTGGAGTTCCAGGCTCCAGGGGGCAAGAGCGTCAGGACCCATCAGCTGTGTCCACCACCCACGAGGAAAGTGGCTCTGTTGCCTCATGCCACGTGCTAGCAACGCTGTCAGAAGGCTCAGCCACATACCCAGGCCACACGACTTCGGCACTGGTCCCTAAACCCAGGCTCAGCTGTAACCTGAGTGTCTCCCCTCCTCGGAAGCCCCAAAGAGTCACCCACCTCCCGGGGCAGGAAGTCCTGGTCCTCCAGACCCCAGCGTGCACGGTGGAAGCGGTAGTACACCAGGTTCTGCTGCATGATGCTGTCCCCGGGGTCAAAAAGCATGTAGCTGGCGGCACTGCGGGCGGCCTGACGCACATCGTTCACTATGGGCAGTGGGACAGTGAGAGTCACCCTTTGGGGTCCCTGGGGAAGCGCCCACTCCCTGCCCAGGGCCCTTGTGCCCCACCCAGCAGCAATACCAACAGCCATAATGGAGCCTCTGTAGTAAGAGCCAGGCACCAAGTGGCTCACAGTGCCAGTGCCAGTGCCGGCCAGCGCGTCAGGAGGAAGATGGCACCAAAGGACCAGGGTCTCTCCAAGGTCCTGTCACGAACCAGCAAGGCCCTCCTGACCCCTGCTCCAACCCCAGCCTCTGCACCCTGGTGGTCCCTCCTGCCCTGCTGTCCTGCAGCCACAACATTTGCCCTCTACCAGCCTCAGTTTCCCTATCTGTAGAGTGGGTGGGGCATGTGGGGACAGCATGGAGTGCAGTTAGGGCTCTGTAAGCTGCCAGAGCTTAGCTGTTGGCAGAAGGCCTCCAAGTGCTTCCCTTTGTCCCCACAAAACTTGGCCCGTCCACCTGTGGGGCAGCACCCCAACTCTGGCAGACCCCATGCTATCCTCGCTGTCCCACAGCTCACACTTGTAGTAGGCGAACTGGAGGTAGTGGTACATGGTGGCCACGAACTTGTCCACGAAGTAGCCACCCACATTGGGGGTCAGGTCAGCCTCGCAGTCCACTTTGCACTGCAGAGACTCTGCAAAGAGATCTGGAAGACAGGGAGGGGGCTGGGGCACCACAGGAGAAACGGCCCCAGGTCCAGTTTCTGCACAGGCCTTCTAGCCCAGGAGGTGCCCAGGGCCATCACGAAGAGTAGTGTGGGTGATATGCTTGGCACACCAAGACACCAGCTCAACCGCACCCCAGGTGGGGGGCATTCTAAAAGAGGCCCAAGTTAGGGCAGGGCCCCATTCCTACAGGGGAAGAAGGACTGCCCGAAGGTTCAAGTCCCAGGGATTAGGTAGTGGGGTTTTTCACCCCAAGGGCATCTGCTTGGCACCTTCCCAGCTCCCTCTGGGATGCCCTGCACCCAACACCCGTGAGCCCTGGCCCCTGTCCACCCGCCTGTGTGAAGCTGCTCCACACCGGCACTCGGGTGTTTCTGGCCCGCGGTGGGCGGTACCTGCTATGGCGGGGTAGAAGTCTTTGAATTCCACCTGCTCCTGGGCTCCCTCGCAACCTGCCAGGCATCGAGCAAAGACGGCCAGATACTCGGCCAGGGCACGTTCCATGTCCTCGGCGCTGCTGCGGAAGTCACCACTGTTGTAGAGCTTCACAGCCCGGAGGAACACGGCCTGGGGGTTGGGGACATGGAGATCGGGGACCTCAGCACCTGTGCTCCTCCGCTTGGAGCTCGGGGCAGGGACGCAGCTCCGGGCCTTCTGCTCCGCACCTCGTAGGGCTGGGCCTCCAGGTCGGTAAGCGACTCATCGGGGACATCCACCATGCTCCGGTAGTAGCCCAGATACTTGGCGGTCAGCTCGTGCTTGGGGTTCTTCTGTAGGAAGGTGTATGCCGCGGCCACCGCCTTTTCCAGCCGGTCGTCCTAGACAGAGCGCACGGCGAGGAGCGCGCGGTCGGCGGGGCGCAGCGTGCCTCCCGGACGCCCATCCCGTGCGCTCTCCCGGCGGCGCTCACCTTGAAGAGCGCATAGTGCAGATACAGGTAGGGCCGGCGGCTCTGGAAGTCGCGCAGCAGCTGGCGCGGCGGGTAGGGCACGCGGAAGGCCGGCAGCTCACTCTGGCAGCGGCGCAAGCAGACGGCGCGCTGCAAGACGGCGCCGAAGAGCCGCAGCTCTTGCGCCCAGGACTCGCCGCCGTCTGGCTCTCCGGGGCCGTCAGGGTCGCCGGGGTCGCCGGGGTCGCCGCAGCGCGCGTGGCAGAATGCCTCGCTGTCGCGCAGCAGGCGGTGCAGCCGCAGCGCCGCCTCCAGCCCTTGCGCGCTCTCGCGCCACTCGCCCTGCTCGTACAGCTCGAGCGCGCGGCCGTAGGCGGAGGCGAGCGGCGCCAGCGCGGCGGGCGGGAACCCGCGGAAGCTGTACTGCTCGTACTGCGCTCGCGCGCCCCGCCCGGGCAGCAGCAGCGGGAGCAGGAGGCCGAGCAGCGCGCGCGCCCGGCCCGTCATGGCCGCGCACGAGGTCGCGCACGGACACGCCAGCACCCTGTGCCTTGCCCTCTCTCTGCCCGGGTCTGCGCCCTGCGCCCTGATCCCTAGCGGCTAGGCTCTACTGGGGGTCACACCTCCCGCTGAGGCTCCTAGCGCGCCCCGACGCCCAATCGCGTGGGGCTCCCCGAAGATTGAGAGCGCGTGGGGCTCGCTGCACGTCCGCGCGAAAGTTCGCCAAGTCCCTCCCCACGGCCAGCGGCCCCCACGACAGGGGAGCAGTGGGAGGCGGGCCCAGGACGCGGGCCACAGGGGTTGTCCGCCCCGCCGCGCCCTGACCCCCTGCGCGCCCTGCACGGCGCAGCCCCCAAGATCCCCTGCACACACGATTCCTAGCACCCACGACCTCAGCACCCACGACCTCAGGACCCACGCCACCACCTCCCAGCGACCGTGTCTGCCAGGTGGGCGCGGAGACGCGGCCTAGCCTCACCCTCAGGGGGCCTGGATTTGGGGGTCCGCAGAAGCCACCGTAAGCCCCCGCCCGGCTCTAGGACCCGGAGGCTCCGGAAAAGGACCTCGAGCGAAGTTTTTTTGGAGTACGCTCCGCTTCTCAGCTTTCCCTCCCCGCCTCCGGCCCAGCCTCCGCCCCTGAGACCGGGAACCTAGGGGACCCCGAGGGCGGGGCTCCTGCGGCGCATACCCAGCCCGGCCTCCAGTTTTGCTCCCCTCCCGCCCGGCCAGCTCAGTGTCCCCAGCCCCCCTTCCACGTGGACTGGCCAGGGTGGAGGTGGGGGACAGGAAGGGAGGGAGTCAGCCCCGGGAAGCAGGGGCTGCCGCCTCGGTCTCTGCTCCGCTGCGTCCCCGCCAGCACCATGCTCCGCACGGGCTTCCCCGGCCGGTGGCCCCTGCTGCAGGCCCTGCTGGCTCTGCAGGCCTTGGGGAAGGCGCTGGGCCGCGCCAGCCTGGCCGGGGGCCCCCTGGAAGACGTGGTGATCGAGCGGTACCACATCCCCAGGGCCTGTCCCCGCGAGGTGCAGATGGGGGACTTTGTGCGCTACCACTACAATGGCACTTTCGAGGATGGCAAGAAGTTTGACTCCAGGTAATGGTGGGGCACCCTGGACAAGGCTCCTTCTGGCTTTCCTTTAGTGCCCCTCCCCCATAGCGTGGTACTGGAAATTCAACCTGGGCCGGGTCGTGAGCTCCCTTCCTGACTCTTGCTAGATGACTACGTGCTCAGGCTTTGGTCAAACTGGCAACCCTGCCTCAGCCTCCCAGAGTACTGGGATCACCAGCATACAGCACCACACCCAGCTTGTTATTCCTTTTACATTCTGGGTCCCTGTATTCATTCTGTGACCCTCTAACCACAAACAGCATGAGGGAGGGGCATCCCAGACCCCAGTCTCCAAAGAAACCCCTGCCCCAACTCCAGAGTCCCAGCTCCCTTCTGCAGCCTTTGATAGTCCGCCAAACTGCTCCACCCCGCTGCCCTTATTCGGAGGCTCAAGGCGGGTGGTGTGCATCCTGCTCTGCCCAGCCCCATCCTGGCCCTTTGGTTACTGCTGTTTATGGAGAAGGTGGCGAGCCACCGGGCAGATGCAGGACACAGCAGGATGGAGCAAGGTGGGCAGAGCTCTGTGGCTCCCCTGTCCGCCAGTGTCCTAATGTCACACGGGCAGATGGACACACAGTTCACCTCTGAGAAGCCTCCCACCTCCCTTCAGGCCGCTTCACACCCCACCTCCTCCATTTTAGCTCCACTGGGCTGGCACCACCGCCCATCCTGCCAGCCTTGGTTCCCGTCTGCACTGTGGTCTGCAGGGACCTGGCAGGATTGTGCCAGCCGCCAGGCAGACTTTCCCACAGGAACCCCCTGTGCCACAGTGTCACCCGCAAAGACCCTGCCTACACCCACAGCTTAGCCCTGAAGTCTCAGCCCTGACTTCAGGGCCCGCAGTGTGGAGGGCAAAAGTACGAGCACGTGCAAGGCCCTGGGTTCGAATCCAGACTGCACTGTGCATGGGGATGTGGGCTCTGAGTTTGAGGGCTGGCTTGCTCAGGCTGGATTGAGATGTTCCGGGAGCTCAGGACAGGGATGCCTTACCCAGGCCAGGCCAGGACAGCACTGATATAAACTAGCTGGGAACACAGCAAGGAGCCCTCCACATGGAGTGGGAGAGGGACAGGCTTGGGGTGGCTTTCCTGTTGGCGTCCCTGGGAGCTTAGCAGGGGCCTAGTTTGTAATAGTTGACCTTCAACTTTCTTTTTTGATTCTCTCTCTCTCTCTCTCTCTCTCTCTCTCTCTCTCTCTCTCTCTCTTTTCTTAACTCCACTAACTGCTAAGTTACCCAGGCTGGGCTTGAATCTGTGATCCTCCTGCCTCAGCCTCCCTGAGTGCTGGGAGCACATTATAGGAATGTACTATCAGCCCTGGCTGAAACCTTTCTTTACCACCTCCAACCTTTGGATCTTTTCATTTGCTTTCGAGTCAGGGCCTCACTCTAGCGCCCAGGCTGGTTGTGAACTTTACATCCATCATCATACTTGGCCTGTGGTCTCCTGTGAGTGAATTAAAGTCTGCATCCTCCCTTTGCTTCAAATGTACAATCGAAAACAGGCACAAGCAGGGGCAATTTATAGAGACCTTCTTGGTGAAGATCGACGCCGATCCTATGTTCACCTCTGGCCGGCTCTGCTTTCTCTTTCCTGGGCAAATCCCTGGGCCCCGGCCCAAATGTGGGCTTTGGAGCTCATGGACCGCGTGGGAGCCGTGGGCGCTTGGGGGGCGCCAGTCTCGGGTCTCTGGTCTCCTCCTGAGCAAGGCCAAGCAATGGGCCCCGCTGTGAGGCTCACTCAGGTAATGAACGTGAGCGGGGCACGATGCTGTGCCACTGGGAAGTGGAGGCAGGAGGAGCTCAAGTTTGAGCCCAGCTTCAAATAAAAAAAGGACTGGGGCTGCAGCTCAGTGTAGAAGCCCTGGGTTCAAGAACGGCAAATAAATGTAAATAAAAAATTTTAAAAAGATGAGTGTAAAGTGCCAAGCATTGAATCAGGCCTATAGTAAGTGTACAGTAAACGCTCATTGGCCTCCGTGCCTTTCGGTGACCTGAAGTAGTGCCCACCTGTCACCACCCCACCTGCAGAGCCCAGGCCTCCTGAGGTGTCTCGAGGTGTGGGGAGGCAGGGTGGCCACTGGTGTTCTGGGAGCGCGGTGTGTGCATGCACAGCGAGACCGCGGGTGAGGGGTGGGAACCTCCCTTGCATGCACCTGAGCTGTGGGTCTCCCTCACCCCACCCCATCCCCTCCAACCCCAGCTACGACCGCAGCAGCCTGGTGGCCATCGTGGTGGGCGTGGGGCGGCTGATCACCGGCATGGACCGTGGGCTCATGGGCATGTGCGTGAACGAGCGGCGGCGCCTTGTGGTGCCCCCGCACCTGGCCTACGGCAGCATCGGCGTGGGTGAGAGGCGCGCGCGGGCGTGGGGTGGTTAGTCAGGGGTCCTGGCAGTCCGGGCAAGGGTGTGGGGGAGCGAGGAGGGGGACATGCTAGACCTCCGGCCCCACCCGCAGCGGGGCTCATCCCCCCCGACGCCACCCTGTACTTCGACGTGGTGCTGCTGGATGTGTGGAACCAGGCGGACACAGTGCAGGTGAGCGTCCTGCTGCGGCCGCCGCTCTGCCCGCGCATGGTGCAGGACGGAGACTTCGTGCGCTACCACTACAATGGCACCCTGCTGAACGGTGCGCCTTTCGACAGCAGGTAGGGTCTGGAGGGCCAGGGGGGGAGGGGGGTCGGCGGGGGAGGGTCCCCCAGCACCGAACCTCTGTCCCTGCAGCTACAGTCGGGGCGGCACCTATGACACCTACGTGGGCTCCGGCTGGCTGATCAAGGGCATGGACCAGGGCCTGCAGGGCATGTGTCCGGGGGAGAAGAGGAGGGTCACCGTCCCCCCGTTCCTGGCCTATGGCGAGAAGGGCTACGGTAAGGGCGGGTGGGACGTGGGAGGCCTCAGAAGAGGGGCGCTGTCGCTCAGGTGGGGCAAAGGGGCTTCCGGCCAAGGAGGCAGGCAGGTAGGAGTGAAATCCAACACTTGGCGATGGCCTCGAAGAGAAGAAAGGCGGCTTTATTCTGACTCAGACACAGGCGCTGCGCGCCTGGTGGTGGCTGAGGACCCACTCTGACCTCTAGATGGCGCCAGACCTAGGCTTGTGCAGGATGCCCACTTGGACCTTCCTGAGCCTGTTTGCTCCCTGCTTGTTCCACTCAAGCTCTGTCCCCTCCCCAGGGACTGTGATCCCCCCACAGGCTTCCCTGGTCTTCCACGTCCTACTGGTGGATGTCCACAACCCCAAGGATACGGCCCAAGTGGACACGCTGGCGGTCCCGGCCGACTGTGTTCGCAAGGCAGCCCCCGGGGACTTCATGCGGTACCACTACAACGGCTCTCTGATGGATGGCACACCCTTCGACTCCAGGTTCGGAGGGTCCCAGGAGGGCAGGGCCTGTCCCTCTGAGCTTCTGGAAGGGGAGGGGCTCCACTGACCCCTCGCGGCCTCCGCATTCTGTTGCAGCTACTCTCGCAACCACACCTACGACACCTATATCGGGCAGGGCTACATCATCCCCGGCATGGACCAGGGCCTGCAGGGCGCGTGCATGGGCGAGCACCGCAGGATCACCGTGCCCCCCCACCTGGCCTACGGGGAGAACGGCACTGGTAGGTGGCAGGGCATTCCCCAGCTCCCCCAGGGCAGTCCCCACCCACCAGCCTGCCCAAGGGGACAAGCCAGAGTGGTTGTGGACAAACAGACCGTGCAGCCCCAGGAGCAGAGAGGCCTGAATTTCTTTATGTAAAATTGAGACAGGGTCTCACTCTGCATTTCAAGCTGCCCTTGAACTCATTTTACAGCCCAAGCTGGCCTTAAAGTCACTATGTAGCCCAGGCTGATCTCCAGTTGTGGCGATCCTCCTGACTCAGCCTCATAAGTGCTGGCATTGCAGGCTTGCGAGCCTGGGTTTTAGACCCATCTGGTCAGCTGGCTCAGTCCTGAGGGTTTGCAAGATGCCACCAGTTGAAGGGCACTGGAAACAGCCTGTCCTTGCTCGGGTCCCCAGGGTGAGAATAGAAAGGGGTTGGGTCTCTGTCCCCTGTGGCCAGCTGACCCCTCCCTGCCTGGCCTCAGGAAACAAGATCCCGGGCTCTGCCGTGCTTGTGTTTCATGTGCTTGTCATTGACTTTCACAACCCCGCGGACCCCGTGGGGATCGAGACCCTGTCCCGGCCTGCAGAGCCCTGCAATGAGACCTCCAAGCTTGGGGACTTCATCCACTACCACTACAACTGCTCGCTGATGGACGGCACCAGGCTATTCTCCTCGTGGGTCGGGGTCCCAGTTAGCACCCCATTCCAGCTCTGCTCTCACTGCTCTCGGTCCCTGTCAGTCCCTCCCCAGTAGGAGGCATGAGACCCCTTCCTCTGCAGGGAAGGGAGGAGGTGGTACAGGAAGTGACAGGAGCCCTGCAGACCATGCAGGGAAGCAACTGGAGGTGGTGATTCGAAGTCTGCTCCCCGGGTGTCTGCAGGGTGCTGGGAGGATGGTTCTGGAATTGCGGGTGTGTCTTGGGCCAGAACTGACACGGGCACCTGCTCTCTACCAGCCACGACTACGGAGCTCCCCAGGAGACCACACTGGGTGCCAACAAGGTGATCGAGGGGCTGGACAGGGGACTGCAGGGCATGTGTGTGGGTGAGCGGCGGCGGCTGGTGGTGCCCCCGCACCTGGCACACGGGGAGAGCGGAGGTGAGAGGCTCAGGCCGGGGGCCACGGGGTTTGGTACTTTTTGCCCTGACTGTGGGGGTGGAGGTGGAGGCGGGGGTAAGGGGAGTAGGACCTTAGCGACCCTGCACAGTTGTGTAAACATCCCATGTCCCAGGAGGGAAGCAGACCCGCAGGCAGGCTGGCTGGCTGTGGAGGCCTGATGGCGTGCTTCCCTGCCCTCAGCCCGCGGGGTGCCTGGCAGTGCGGTGCTGCTGTTCGAGGTGGAGCTGGTGTCCCGGGAGGACGGGCTGCCCGACGGCTACCTGTTTGTGTGGCATGAGGACCCTCCCTCCAGTCTGTTCGAAGACATGGATCTCAACAAGGATGGAGAGGTCCCCCTGGAGGAGGTGAGTCAGGAACTCGGCCACCCCCAAGGCCAGGCAACTAGCGCGGGGAGGCCTAACGCATCACAATGCCCACCCTGCCTGAAGCACACCCACCCAGCCTGCTGGGGTTTCCTGCAGACAGCCTTGTTTCCCATCCCGCCGCCACGCCTTCCGTCGGGCCACGCCCGCAGCCACACCCTCCCACCAACAGGCCACGCCCTTTCCGTGCTCTCCGGGACGGAGCAGTCGGCCCTCCCATCCCCTACACTCCGTAGGCCACGCCCCCGAGACCCCTTCCTCCCCTCTCATTGGGAAGCGCCCCAACTTCCAGGGCCTCCCCCGGGACCCCCGCACTCCCCTCGATGGCTCCCCCAACCCTCACCCGCCTTTCTCTGCAGTTCTCCGTCTTCATCAAGGCTCAGGTGCAGGACGGCAGGGGCCGTCTGCTGCCTGGGCAGGACCCTGAAAAAACCATCGGGGACATGTTCCGGAACCAGGATCGCGACCAGGACGGCAAGATCACGGCCGCGGAGCTCAAGCTGAAGTCGGAAGAGGACCAGGAGCGCGTCCACGAGGAGCTCTGAGGCCCAGGCCCGTGGAGACAGCGGCAGCGGGACTCTACTGCCGCAGCAGCACCCCTCTGTTGGGAGACCCGGGGCTGTGGGAGGGGCCACAGCAGGCACGCTGGGCCCTGGCCCCGAGACGCGGGGTCACAGCCGCTGGTGGCTCGCGGCGTGGGCTGGCCCTCTTGTCGGTCACTAGGGTCGTGGCAGGACCAGCTCGGCTTATCCCCGTCACACTGGCCCTGCCGCACCGCAGGCCTGGCTGCTGGGAAGGGGCTGCTGGGCTCCACCTGCCCCTTGCTCCGCTCCCCTCCCTCCAGGGGCTCGGCGCAGGCTGGGCTCTGCACCCCTCATCCTCCCCTCTCAGAGACTCCCGTCTGTGGGAACCCAGGAAGGTTTTCTGCGCAGGCAGAGATGGAGGCGCATTGACCTCAGGGCCAGGAGAGAAATCTCCCCAGCTCGGCACCAGAGGCCAGATGTGTTCACTCCCTTCGCGTGACAAATAAAAGGTTCACCCACAGGTCTCAGGAGGTGGTCTCTGGGGAGCAGGGGCCCCCGTGTGGGCTCAGAACCAGCGCCAGGGCTCAGAACCAGCGCCAGGGCTCTGACCCAAACCCCAGCCTGTTTGACCTTTTATGTTGAGATAGGGCCTTGCTAAATTGCCTGCCTGGTCTAGCAGCGTGCCTGTAATTGCAGTCTCTGTGGCGCCCAGCCCACTGCTCCTGGCCACCAGGTGTCACCAGCTCTTCTCCCTCTGCCGGAAGATGGAGACCTGGGCTCAGGTCCCTCGTCTTGGGCCACCTGCCTGGCCTCTGTCACCACCGTGGGTAGGACCCGGTCTCCCAAGGACAGGCTGGGATGGTTCTAAGCACCAAACTGCCCATGCACCCCAGTCCCAGCTCCATGCTGCAGTCTGCTCTGGACGTCCTTTTTTTTTTTTTTTTTTTTGAGGAACTGGGGATTGAACTCAGGCCCTTGGGCTTGCTAGGCAAGCACTTATTCTACTGAACCATCTCCCCAGCCCCTTTTCTTTGTGGTACCGGGGATTGAATTCAGGGCCTTCTACTCAGCCTTCTCCCCAGCTCCTGGATGTCCCATCTTGAGGATGTCCCAAGATGAGGGGGGACCCCGGTAGAGCTCAGGTCACTTGGGGCCTTGAGGTCATGGGCCTGGTCTCTCTCCCTTGCATCCAGCAGCTATGAGGTGAGTAGGTTCCTCAGCCAGCCAGCCACCAAACCTAAACTAGAATAAACCTTTTTCTTTTTGTTCATTTGATAGGTCTCACTATGCAGTTCAGACTCGTAGTGATCCTCTTGGTTCAGCCTCCCCAGCGCTGGGATTACAGGTGGGTTTCTGGGGCTGGCCCAGCATGGGGTACCAGGGACACCTGGGATCAGACGCTGGTCTTTGCACTTGCCAGGCAGGCACTTAGACTGCCGAGTTGTCTCCTCATCCCCCTTTTCTCCTTTTAAATTGATTATTTCAAATCCTTTGTTACAGTGATAGAAAGAACACACTTAAGATCTTTTATTGTTGAGACAAGGTCTTAACTACGGCTGGGCATGGTGGTGCCCCCAAGCTTGGGAGGCTGAGGCAGGAAGATTGTTCTGAGTTTGAGAGCAGCCTGGGCTGCAAAGTGAGCTCAAGGCCAGCCTGAACTGCATAGCAAGAGTCTCTCTCAAAAAGACAAAAAGAAAGATCTTACTGTATAATCTAGGCTGGTCTCCAAACTTACAACCCTCCTGCCTCAGCCTCCCACAGTGCTGGGGTTAGAGGAGGGCACCACAACAGGCTCAGGAGCCATGATGGCCGGCAAGGGAAAGGACGGCACTCCCTGCCCCTAGCAGCAGGCTTGGGAGGCCTGGGATGGCCACACACTGCTCTCAGATAGTGACCTTGCCTGAAGTCTAACAGAAGCACCTGGGTCAAAGCAGTGCTGAGCAATGGCCTCGAGAACCCTGAGGCCAGAAGTGTTCTTGTCGAGCTCCAGTCCCCAGCATGGAGCCCAGGGAGGTGCACCTACGCCATCCACTTGCTTAGCACTGGAGCCACTCGAGAGGCTGAGGCAGGAGGATCACAAGCTCACTGGCAGCTTGGGAAACTTAGCGAGACCTCGTCTTCAAATGGGAGTGATACTTTTTTTTTTTGGCCAAACTGGGGATTGAACTCGAGTCCTTGCACCTGGCAAGCGCTTACTCTACTTAGCCATCTCCCCAGCCCCTCGTCTTCCAGTGGAAGCGGATGTGGCCCAGGGATGTGGCACTTGCCTAGCACGCGGGAGGCCGGGTTCCGTCCTCAGCACGGCAGCTAACAGGAAAATGATCAAAGGTGAAGGCGCCCACAGGCATTCGGTGTCACCTCCCCTTCCCCTCCTCAGGACCCCCATTTGCCCCAGCCCAAGACCTCAGGAGGAAGTGTTTGAGGAAGGCCTCCTCTGAGGGCAGCTGGTATGCCCACGAGTGTGTCACAGGGTAGAGAACCGGGGTCACCAGGCTGAGGAGGGATAGTGATCCAGGTCAAGGACGTGGGGTGCCCTGGCATAAAGTGCTCTTACAGGCCGTTGGCCCCGGGACCCCTGTGGTCTTTGGTAATCTGTTAGTGGCCCTCGCCAGGGCCCAGGAGGAAGAAGGTGGTGTCTTGGGGGAGATCCATACCCACATGGGTCCCTGCAGGGCTCCCCAGACAGGGTCGCCCCAACCAAGCTCCTCCCTGCCGATGCCAGTTTTGATGGTGGCGCTGGCAGGACATCACCCCATCCCGGGTTAGAGCCCCGCGCCCACCCCCATATCTGCACGCACCCCTGGGTTCTCAAATCCTGTTCCAAGGAGCCCGAGAGCCTCGGAGGTTCCCGGGCCTCCAGGATCGGACAGTAGTTTTTAATTTCCATCTGCTTACCCTTCTATTTGTGTGAAATACAGCATTTTTGTTTGGGTACTAGGAATTGAACTCAGGGCCTCACGCTCGTCAGGCACGATGAAATACAGCTTTTTATAAAAAAAAAAAAAAAAAAAATCCCTGGACTAGGCAGCCACAGGATGCCAATGGGCAGAGATCACGGGGGTGGACATGTGGGAGGAGGAGGGGTCCCTGGGCTCTACCCCGGGGACAGTCTGTGAAGGCTCAGGAGCCCCGTGCCTCCTCAGTCCCCTGGGGACAGGACGTGCTGCAGGAGTCCGTTGACCACGTCCAGCGTCTCGTCGCTCTCCAGCACGATGTCGTAGGCATCCAGGTAGCGCTCACGGCGCCCCTCCACCTGCAGTGAGGCGCAAGGTGCTCAGGTGTCCGCCCAGGCCCTGAGTCCCAGGTTGCCTGACTCAGCCGCCTTCCTAACACCCGCAGAGCCAGAGGCCATGGGGTCCTGCCATGGGGACACAGCCAGGTGGGCCAGGGCTGGAGTGGCCACAACAGGCCCTTGGCTAGAGCCAACAGGGCAGCAGCAGGGGTCACAGACCTCGGTACCATCAGGACTGTGCTTGGCACAAGTCTGCGCCAGTGGGGACATTGGCCAGCGTCTTCTACCTGTGGGCCCGAACCCGGCTGGGACCACCTCCTGTACCCCTCCCGCTCTGAGCCTAAGCCCCTGTGCAAAAAAAGCTGGGGCAGGGTGCGGTCCCACCCACCTTGTCATTGAGGAAGCCGATCTTGAGGATGTCTTGTACCCCTGGAACCCCGTCTGCCATGCTGAGGTCCCCCAGAGAGTCCCCGAGGAGCAAGATGTTGGTTCTGCCCTGGAGCTGCCGGAAGTAGCTGGCACTGCCGCCCGCGGAGCTGTTCTTGTTGAAGATGTGGATGAGCGGGGCCTTGAACCCCTGCAGGAGGCCCTGGGGACCGAGAGGGCACAGGACAGTGGTCAGGGAGCGTATGGCATGGGGAGGGAACCCTAAATGCACAGATGATGCCAGGATTTCACAGGAGGCAAGGCCAGGTTGGCAAACTGGTGCCCAGCTGCCACATTTGGCCTGTTTCTCCAAATAAAGCATCAGCACGCTCAGAGGGCACCACTGCCGAGCTCCACGCACGGCCCTATCTTTTTTTTGTTTGTTTGTTTGGCTTTGTCTTTTTCTGAGACAGGGTCTCGCTCTGCAGCTCAGGTTGGCCTTGAGCTCACTTTGTGGCCCAGGCTGCTCTTGAACTCACAATGATCTCCTGCCTCAGCCTCCTGAGTGCCGGGAGCACAGGTGTGTGCCACCGTGCCTGACCCTTTTTAATCTTTTACTTCGAGCCAGGGTCTTGCTTAATTGCCGAAGCTGGCCATGATGTTGGCAATCCCCCTGCCTCGGCCTCCTGAACACCTGGGGTCACTGGGGTTCACCACCATGCCAGCCTATTCCAGAGGAACACAGGTCTGTTTGTCTGCTGACACAGCAGAGATGGCTTCCTCTGGGGCTGGGGCAGGACAGGCTGCCACGCAGCAAGTCCCCAGGGGGACGCCTCAGACAGGGGCTGCCGGTGACCACCTGCAGGCACAGATGCCACGGCCACGCCCGCCCGCCCGCCCCCAGGGCCCACCCGCCTGCCTGGCCGAGGCAGGGGCTCACATCATCACTGAAGTCCATGTAGTTGGACACAATGTGGATGTTGGGGTGCAGTACGTCCCGCTGCCGGATCACTTCCTCTAGGATGTCACCCACACCGGCGGAGAAGATGAACAGCGGGACGTCGTGCTGGTACAGCGTGTCAAAGAAGGTCTCATAGCCCTCCCTGCGGATGAGGGGTCAGAATGCCACTGTCAGCGCTCCTGTGCCCTCTCGCTCTCTGGTTCTTCAGGCTGGGTTGCAGTATGTAGCTCAGGTTGAGATGGAGCTCAGCAACCCTCCTGCCTCAGCCTCCCCAGTTCATAAGCTATCCCAGGCAGTGAGACTTTGCCACAAAACAGGCTTCAGCACAGAGCTCTGCTCAGGAAAAGTGGCCAGGCCAGGGGTGGTAGTGTACACTATAATCACAGCAGCTCAAGAGGCTGAGGCAGGAGGGTCAAAAGTTCAAAGGCAGACTGGGCAATTTTAAAATAAAAAATAACATGAAGGCTGGGGATGTTGCTCAGCAGCAGAGTACTCTTGGACTGGCTCCCCACCCCTGCATACACACAAGTTCCATCTGCTACTCCAGAGTACCCCCAAAGTCTCCGCTGCTGTGACAGGGGAGGACACTGGACAGCCCTGCAGCCCTGGCCCGCCTCTCCAGCCTCTGCCTCGGCTCTGCTCCTCCCCAGCAGGAACCAAAGTTGGAGGCCAGCTCTTCTTGCCGAGGGTGCTGGGTGGTTCCAGCACTTGGCCCCCACCCCCCGCCCAGTGGTTCCAGCTCTGGGAGCTAACCTGAGCATGGCTCCCGACTCCCGCACCACGTCAGGGATCTGCAGCCGTGGAATCTTCTGTCCACACAGCAGCTCGTGTGCCCTGGTCCACCTGCATCGACCCGAGCCCCACCTTCAAGCAATGCGGAGGCCACCAGGCCTCTTACGAGAGCCAGGCCCCTTGGAAGGGACCCTAGCCATCCTTAAAGGGAAGAGGGTGTCAGTGTGGTGGTGGTCCACGCCACAACCCAGGCACTTGGGGAGGCTGAGGCAGGAGGAGCTCAAGTGCGAGCTAAGTTTAGACAACCTTTTGTTGAAAAATAAAAAAATAAAAATAAAACAAAACAAAAAGACAACTTAATGATACAGTAAGATGAAAGAAATACAAACTAAAAATAACAAAAAGGGCTGGGGATGTCACTCACTGCAAAGGCCCTGGGTTTAGTCTCCAGTGCTGGAAATAAGGAGGGCAAGAGGGCAACAAAAGGGAGAAGAGGGGGGCGGGGAGATGGCTCAGTAGAATAAGTGATTGCCTAGCAAGCACAAGGGTGTGAGTTCAATCCCTGGCTCCACCAAAAAATAAATTTAAAAAAAGGGAGAAGCAGTCTGAGCTGGGCAGCAGGCTCTGTCCTCGAGAGCTGGGCCGGCTTCCGGGGGCTCTGCCTCAAAACAGAGCCAGGCCTTCCTGTGTGCTTTCCGGCCCTCCTGCCCTCTGCCTTCCACCCGGAGGGTGCGCAGGACAGCCCTTGCCGGCCGCTGGCCTCTGCCGGGCCACGCCTGTCCTGCTCCAGCACCGCCAGCCCTGTGCTGTCCCACATCCCAGGAGTGGCACTGAGACAGCAGCACCAACACAGGAACGGGTCCCTCCCACGGGCCCCAGCGCTGTTCTCACTCAGCCTTAGCCTGCAGCCCGGGCCCGGCGCCTGGAAAGCTGTGCTGGTGGCGGCAGCGCTGGCGCTGCTACCGTAGGGCAGAGCTCAGGAGGTACAGCCTCGGAGTCCTCCTGGCCACGCCATCCGCCCGCCCTGTCTGGCAGGCCACTCACCACTCCACCATGTGGGGGAGCTTCTCCTCCACAGCCCGCTGTGGGTCGATCTCGATGGGGTAATAGTGGTCAAAGAGCGCGGTGAGCTGCAAGAGCCGCAAGGAGAAAATCCATGAGCCTGAGAGAAACCACTGGCCGGCCTGGTGGTGCAGGCCTGCGGGCCCGGGCGCAGGAGGCTGAGGCGGGAGGGTTGCAGGCCTGAGGACAGGCTGGGCCGCACCGAGACCTCAGAAAACAGGCCTTGCTGAGCATACGCAAGCACCTTGGTTCAGTTCCCAGCAAGACATATAAAATTAAAAGGGCTGGGGATGTAGCTCAGGGGTACAGTAAGAAATCCTGGCTTTGAACCTCAGTACTGTGAAAACCAAACCAAACCAAGGCAGTGAAACTTCAGGCGATGGCATCGGCTCCTGCAAGCTGTCACTCAGGTTGTAGCATTTACAAGTCCCAGGTTTCTCCTTTCTTTCTTGAGACCAGGTCTTGCTATGCAGCTCAGGCTGGCCTTGAGCCCACTCTGTAGCCCAGGTTGAGCTCGAAGTCCGAGCAACCTTCCTGCCCCAGCCTCCAGAGTGCTGGGACCACAGGTGTGCATCACCCCGTCCCCGGCTGGTTTTTCCTTTTCTAACCCTTTCCAAACGCTCACCCACCTCTGCCATCTCCTAAGTCCAGGTGGGCCCCAACCCGGGCTCTCTCCCCACCCTGGGGGCTCGGAGCTGCCTCCACTGTGCCTCACGGGGTCGGGATTTACTCTGCTATTAGCCTGCCTGTCAGGCCACAAGCAGCAAGGACTCACTGGCCGCTGTGTCTCCCACACACGCACATGCACGAGACGGTGTGGAAGTCGCGGGAACACTTCCTCCTCTGCATTGCTCTGGCTTCGTGCTAACGTCTGTTAGAAACGAAGGGCTGGGGAGACAGCTCAGCGGCAGGCCTAAGCACCTGCCTGGCAAGCGCTAGGAACTGAGTTGGATCTCCAGTACAAAAAAAACCAGAAAGAGAAGCCAGGTGTGGGGGTGCGTCCCTGCAATCCCAGCACTTGGAAGGCTGGTGCAGTCAGATCCCTGAGCATTCCAGACTAGACTGGGCTACGGAGTGAACTCAAGGCCAGCCTACACTACATAGAAAGATACTGTTTAAAAATTTTTTTTAAAAAAACACATCAAACTCATGTTTTCTTTTTAGTTTTGCAGTAGTGAGGATTAAACTGCTTTAAAAAAAAAAAAAAAAAAGAAAAGAAAAGAAAGAAAGAAAAAACCCACACATCCAGTCAAGATGATGGTTCCTACCTGTAATCCCAGCACTCTGAGGCTGAGGCAGGAGGCTCTCAAATTTGAGCCGATCATGAGGAATTTAGCAATTCAACAAGACCCTGGGGGCTGGTGAGATGGCTCAGTGGTCTAAAGCGCCTACTTAGAACAAGCTTAGCAAAGCACGGGGACCGGGGTTCAATCCCCAGTACCACAGGCCAGCCAGCCCCGCCCCCTGGTGGGCTGAGCTGCCCACCCCCACGAATAAATTAAAAAAAAAAAAACCAAACAAGACCCTGTACAAAGTTTAAAAGGGCTGGGAACACAGCTCAGTACAAAGGCCCTGAGCTCAGTTCCTGGGGCTGAAGAGAAAGAAGCGGAATCTGACAAAAAAAAAAAAAAAAAAGACTACACAGATCTGGGCTGGGGAGATAGCTCCGCAGTCTAGGCGACTCCCTGGCAAGTGCAAGGACCCAAGTTTGATCCCTGGTATCGCATGCCGTGCTGGCCCTTCCAGGCCGAGGCATTGAGCACCGAAACCCAGTGTGGTGGTGCTCACCTGTAATCCCAGCGCTGGGAAGACTGGGACAGGAGGGTCACTAGGAGTCTGAGCTGCACAGCCAGATACTGCAGCAAATAAAATAGGGGCCAGGGAGACGGCTCAGTGGAATAAGCGCTTCCCTGGCAAGCGCAAGAGCCTGAGTTCAATCCCCGGTTCCGCAAAAAAAATAGATAAATAAATAAAAGATAAAATAAAAGACTAGGGGGCTGGGGAGATGGCTCAGTAGAATAAGCGCTTCCCTGGCAAGCGCAAGGGTCTGAAGTTCAATCCCCAGCTCCGCAAAAAAAAAAAAAAAAAAAAGATTACATGGATCTGATAAGCCAGTTTTAAAGAGGGTCAGCGTTCTCAGGCCTCTGTCCTGGGCATCGCTGGATCTAAACCAGGAGTAGCGGGAGGTGCAGGCTGCCAGCAAAGGGACGGACCCACCTGTCTGCGACACTCCTCGCTGACCACCTTGCTGTTATCCAGAATATCTAGAAAAACAAAACTCCTTTGACCTGTTCTTTTAACGTCACCTGGCCGCAGGGGCAGGGTAGTGCGACACTCACTGTAGGAAGAGGGACAGCGCTTCCCACCGTGCGAGAATCTGCTCAGGGTCATGTCGAAGTCGGACACGACCTGCGGCAGGGAGAGAGCGGTGCCCACCGGGCCTGGGGCACGCGGCGGGGGGCACACGGCGGCGCGGGGGACACGGCGGCGCGGGGGACACAGCGCGGGGGACACAGCGCGGGGGACACAGCACGGGGGGGGGGCCGAGGGGGGCTGCCACTTGGCAGGAGGTCTGAGGAGCGCAAGCGAGGAGGGCCCCCAGGGGATCCCCGCGTCCTGAGTGGGCGGGTGACCGATGAGACCCCCGAGGTCGCAGCGTCGGGGTTCGCGTTCGCTTTCAATGCGGGGTCCCGGCAGAGCCCCCCAGCCCCGTACCTGCAGGCAGCCGCCCCCGGCCCGGCGCAGCGCGCGCACCCGCTCCTGCACACTCCCGGGCCGCCGCATCCGCACGGTGGGCGCGCACAGGGCCCGCACCTGAGGGGTGTGGGGCGCAGATGAGCGAGCGTGGGGCCCCCGATTCTCCTCCCGGACCCGCACCACCGAATTCCCGCCTCACCGTTTCGGCCATTGCACGCCAGCCGCTCCAGGAAGGCCACGCCCCCGCAGCCGCACCGCGCAGGCGCAGTCCCCGCAGCCGGGCGTGGCTTGGGGGGGACTCCGCGGTACCCGCCCCGCTGTGGGGCCTCCTGCCACCTCCACTCCTACCCCTGGACTGGGGCATGGACCCAAGGGCGCTGTACCACTGAGCTATATCCCTAGCCCTTTGTGTTTTTGAGATAGGGTTTTGCTGAAGTGCCCAGGCTGGCCTCGAACTTGTGATTTTTCTGCCTCAGCCGCCTGAGCAGCTGGGACGACAGGCGTGCTCTCCTGCCAAGTTTTCCAGAGCAAACACACCCCGGCAGCTGTCTGGTCCAGGGCTGGTGATGAAGCTGTAGTCCACAATGTCTCTCTGGCAGTGCCTGGCACTCTACTGATACCCAGAGCAGGGAGAAAGGAGCGGTCATGCAGACCACAGGTGGCGCAGTCTTGAAACTCAGCATTCTGGGAGGCTGAGGCAGGAAGGTCACAAGTTCAAACCCAGGCTGGGCAATTTAGCGACTTAGTAAAACCCTATCTCAAAATAAAAAGGAAAAAGAAAAAGAAAAGGAAAAGGCCGGAGACCAGGGAGATGGCTCAGTAGAATAAGTGCTTCCCTGGCAAGCACAAGGGTCTGAGTTCAATCCTGGTTCTGCCAAATAAATAAATAAGAAAAGGCCAGGATGTAGATTAGTACAAAGACCCTGGGCTCAATCTGAATTTTGCACAACAAAACAAAAAACAAGGCCGGGGGCTGGAGAGATAGCTCAGCAGCTTGGAGCCCCCCTGGGCAGCTGATGAGCAGATTTGATCATTCTCCTGTCTTTCTGTTTGACATAGGGGCTTGCTATGTAGTTCAGGCTGGCCTTGAACTCACTATGTAGCCCAGACTGGCCTCAGACACCCAGGGATCCTCCTGCCTTGGCCTCCCAAGTGCTTCCATCAGTCAAGCGCCCCCGGTGTGAGGTGCGAGCCCTTGTCCCTAGGTGGCCTGCAGCATGTGGGGAGCCTGGGGCAGCTGCTGCAGAGGTGGAGACCTGGACAGTCCAGAGGGGGCAAAAGAAAATAGAATCAATCAAAACTGTTCTGTGGTGTTGGTGGCCATGGTCTCGAGCCAGGACCCAGGACAGGTGGGAAGGGCGGAGGGCCTGGGCCAGGCCAGGCCGAGTTCCAGAACCCCCGGGGCATGGGTGAGCGCACAATCCTGCCATGACCTCACTGCTACCAGGGTTCTGGAACCTGGGCTGCCCGCTGGGCCGGACATGAAAGATGTAGTAGGGAAAGGGAGGGACAGCTGCCTGCAGGGGCCCCCAACCCTCGCCACACCCAGGACAGCAGCCTCTCCCCGCTGGCTCCCGGGAGCCATGGAGACGGAGGGCGCCTCGGCCTCCTCCCGCTTCCCCCAGCCTCACATGGAGAGGAAAATGAGCGCCATGACCTGTGAGATCTTCAATGAGCTTCGGCTGGAGGGCAAGCTCTGCGACGTGGTCGTCAAGGTCAATGGCTTCGAGTTCAACGCCCACAAGAACATCCTCTGTAGCTGCAGCTCCTACTTCAGGTATGGCCTGGGGCTCGGCATGGGGCCCTGCCTGCCCTCTGGGGCGCAGCCGGCTTCCAGAGAGTGGGAGGCTGGATTTTTAAAATTTTCATCCAATTTCCAACTCAAACCCCAGTGAAGACCTGGGCCCTCAGTGGTGAGAGATCTGGGACCTCCCAGGCCTGGGGAGCACATGGGGCTGCTCAGGGGCCGAGGGGGCAGTGGGGAGTGGAAGTGGGAGTCAGCTGGGGGCTGGGCCCAGCCCAGAGGGCTTTGTTGTTCTTTGGCAGGAATGGGGATTGTACCCAGGCCCTTTGTGGTGAGCTGTATCCAGCACCCCCCCCCATTTTTTTGGTACTGGTACTCAGGTCCTTGCGCTTGCCAGACAGGGGCTGTGCTGCTTAGCTGTCTCCCCAGCTTCCTCAGCCCATTTTTGATATTATATTTTTGATATAACATCTTGGGAATTTGGCCTGGCTGAAGGCGCAAAAGATCAGCCTCAGCCTCCTAGAGTGCTGGGATTTGGGGCACACACCACAACACCTGGTCCCAGCCCACTTCCTCAGATCCATTCATTCCCAACCTACTCACCATGTGCCTGTTGGAAAATGTCCAGAGTCACCTGCAGGAGGAGAGGAGGGTGGGGGCAAGGACTTGGCCGCCAGTGAGAAGTGCTCCCAGGCTGCCAGCTTCTGTCTTTTCCAGAGCTTTGTTTACCAGTGGCTGGAACAACACGGAGAAGAAAGTGTACAACATTCCCGGCATCTCCCCCGACATGATGAAGCTGATCATCGAGTATGCCTACACGCGCACCGTGCCCATCACCCCTGACAATGTGGAGAGGCTGCTGGCGGCCGCTGACCAGTTCAACATCATGGGCATCGTGCGGGGCTGCTGCGAATTCCTCAAGTCTGAACTGTGCCTGGACAACTGCATCGGCATCTGCAAGTTCACCGACTACTACTACTGCCCCGAGCTGCGGCAGAAGGCCTACATGTTCATCCTGCACAACTTTGAGGAGATGGTGAAGGTCTCGGCCGAGTTCCTGGAGCTGTCGGTCACCGAGCTCAAGGACATCATAGAAAAGGACGAGCTCAATGTCAAACAGGAGGATGCTGTGTTTGAGGCCATCTTAAAGTGGATTTCTCATGACCCCCAAAACAGGAAGCAGCACATCTCGGTTTTACTTCCTAAGGTCAAGTTCCATTATTCTTCGTGAACGTCCTGTGTCTCTCTTAATCCAGAGCAGCTCTCTCCCCGGCCTTCCCAAGCCAAATATTCCATCTATGCATTATGGTTTTTTTTTTCTTTCTTTCTTTTTTTTTTTAGGATAGGGTCTACAGGGTATTCAGGGTCCCACTACTAGATTGGACTCGTAGTGATCCACCTGTTTACAACCTCCCAAGAGCTGGGATGACAGGCACGTGCCACCAGGCCCAATTTCAATTGCCCTTTCAGCAATGAATGCCCTGGGCTCAAAC